GCAGCAGATACTGTGAGCCAGGCTGGAGTGCCAGACTGTATGCTAGGGCTTAAAGAGGTGGTGAGCCGGCATTTCCCTGGAGGAGCTGATGGCTCAGTGGAAGTGCCAGCAGCTGGGACAGGCAACTGCTACAATGAACGCAGAGAGGGAGTTGGGAACACAGTGATGGGTCAGGCAGGCTTGTTCCAGAGGATTAGGAATCTCAAGGGTGTGCAGGAGTTTGTCAGGTGAGGAAGCAGGCAGAGGCTGCTGTGAGGGGAAGGAATAACGTGCAGAAACACAGAAAGCTTTGCTTGTTTACAGAAGCATGAGTCAGTGAGTATTGTTGGAGCATAAAGTACAGTGCAGACAGTGATGATGGATGAGGCCATAGTAGTTACGCGAGGGCCAGATCCAGATTGTTTTGTTTTTTTTGAGACAGGGTCCCACTCTTTCACCCAGGCTGGAGTGGGAGTGCAGTGGCACAATCTTGGCTCACTGCCCCGTCTGCCCCCTGGGGTGGTAAAGCAATCCTCCCGTCTCAGCCTCCGAGTAGCTGAGACTATAGGTGCCCGCCGCCGCGCCTGGCTAATTTTTTTTTTTTGAGATGGCGTTTTGCTCTTGTTGCCCAGGCTGGAGTGCAATGGCGTGATCTTGGCTCACCACAACCTCTGCCTCCTGGGTTTAAGCGATTCTCCTGCCTCAGCCTCCCTGGTAGCTTGGATTACAGGCATGTGCCACCACGCCCGGCTAATTTTTGTCTTTTTAGTAGAGACTAAAGGATTTAGGGTTTCTCCATGTTGGTCAGACTGGTCTCGAACTCCCAAACCTCAGGTGATCTGCCTACATCGGTCTCCCAAAGTGCTGGGATTACAGGCATGAGCCACCGTGCCTGGCCACGCCCAGCAAATTTTTGTATTTTTTTTGTAGAGACAGGGTTTTACCATGTTGCCCAGGCTGGTCTCCAACTCCTGGGCTCAAGTGATCCTGCCTCGGGCTCGACCTCTCAAAGTGCTGGGATTACAGGTGTGAGCCACTGCGCCTGCACCAGATCCAGATGCTTCTAAAGGACTGTGTGTTTACTGTATAGAGTGAGGCTGCTATCCTGAAGCCCATGGATTTGGGGGTGCATACCTGTCTACACGTGAACAGAGGCATGTAGGAAGGTAGCCTGGAAGGTTTTTACCTGTTGCAAGCCCCCTTCCTGAGGCAGGGAGAATCCAGAATATTTTCTACCATATGTTAATATATTTTCGGGCAGATTATTTTCTCCTTTGGATTGTAAGTTCCTAAAGGGCGATGAGGTTTAATTTTTATGAATCTCCTACCTCCTCACGTGTGCATTGTGAGATAGATGCTCATTTAAACTTTCTAGGCTGGGTGTGGTGGCTCACGCCTATAATCCCAGCACTTTGGGAGGCCAGGGCAGGTGGGATCGCCTGAGGTCAGGAGTTTGAGATCAGCCTGGCCAACATGGCAAAACCCCGTCTCCTCTAAAAATACAAAAATCAGCTGGGCGTGGTGGCATGCACCTGTAATTCCAGCTACTCTGGAGGCTAAGGCAGGAGAATCACTTGAACCCAGGAGGTGGAGGTTGCAGTGAGCCAAGATCACGCCACTGTACTACAGCCTGGGTGACAGAGTGAGACTCCGTCTTAAAAAACAAAACAAAAAAACTTTATTTTTGGAGTATAGTGGCACGATCTCGGCTCACTGCAACCTTGGCCTCCTAGGTTCAAGTGATTCTCCTACCTCAACCTCCCAAGTAGCTGGGATTAAAGATGTCTGCCACCACACCTGGCTAATTTTTATATTTTTAGTGGAGACGGGGTTTTGCCATGTTGGCCAGGCTGATCTTGGACTCCTGACCTCAGGTGATCTGTCTGCCTTGGCTTCCCAAAGTGCTGGGATTATAGACGTGAGCCACTGCCCACTGCACCCAGGTAAACTTTATTTTTCTTTTTTGTTTGGGACGGAGTTTTACTCTTGTTGCCTAGACTGGTGTGCAGTGGTGTGATCTCGGCTCGCTGCAACCTCTGCCTCCCAGGTTCAAGTGATTCTCCCACCTCAGCCTCCCAAGTAGCTGGGATTACAGGCATGTACCACCACGCCTGGCTCATTTTGTATTTTTAGTAGAGACGGAGTTTCTCCTTGTTGTTCAGGCTGGTCTCGAACTCCCGACCTCAGGTGATGCTCCTGCTTCGGCCTCCCAAAGTGCTGGGATTACAGATGTGAGCCACCTTACCCAGCCAAACTTGCTTTAAATGAATAATGACTACATCACTATCTGTAGCCCTGCTCTGTTTTTTTTTTTTTTTGAGACAGTCTCGCTTTGTCGTTCACTCTGGAGTGCAGTGGCGCGATCTCGGCTCACTGCAAACTCTGCCTCCTGGGTTCACTCCATTCTTCTGCCTCAGCCTCCTGAATAGCTGGGACTACAGGTGCCTGCCATCACGCCCAGCTAATTTTTTTTGGTATTTTTTAGTAGAGATGGGGTTTCACCATGTTAACCAGGATGGCCTTGATCTCCTGACCTCAAGTGATCTGCCCGCCTGGGCCTCCCAGAGTGTGGAGATTACAGGTGTGAGCCACGCCCCGGCCAGCCCTGCTCTGTTTTAACGTCTTACTATCTCATAAGGTTTCACCCTTTTATCTGCCCCATCCCTCACTTTCAATTTTTCTATTAGGCAGATTAAATTCAGAAACAAAGAAAAAAGAGGAAAACTTTGTTCCAGGAGGATTTGTTGTTTGTGCTGTCAGATGCCAGGTCGTAATGGATTTAGAAGGTTGGGGTGGGACTCCTTCTTGAGGCAGCCACTTCAGTGCTTCTTTGCATTCTCTGTGCCTATTTCTTGATAGGTGCTCAATAAATGTTTGCTGAAGGAATCATCCTGTTTATTGATAGCAAGACTAAGCCTGTGTTTTCATAGTAAAACCTGCCTACTTTTCTACTTTGATCTCCTATAATCTTTCCTTTCTATGCTCCAGACACATTATTAAACTCTTCATTCCAGCAGTACTTCCAGATATTTCCGCTGCCTGGAGTGCCGTCTCTCTTGTCTGGCCAACTCCTATACCTTCTCATAAGACTTAACTCTCCTCTTTTCTGGGAAAATGATTGCTCATTAACCCAGGTGAAGTTAGTTACTTCTTCCTGTGTACATTTTTTTTTTTTTTTTTGAAATATAGTGTCACTCCATCACCCAGGCTGGAATGCAGTGGCACGATCTCGGCTCACTGCAACCTCCGCCGCCCAGGTTCAAGTGATTTTCCTACCTCAGTCTCCCTAGTAGCTGGGAATACAGGCGTGTGCCATCATGCCTGGCTAATTTTTTGTATTTTTAGTAGAGATGGGGTTTCACCGTGTTAGCCAGGATGGTGTTGATCTCCTGACCTCGTGATCTGCCCGCCTCCAAAGTGCTGGGATTACAGGTGTGAGCCACCACTCCCAGCCCCTGTGTACATTTTTATGTTGACGTTTGTTCAGCCTCTAGACCGCTTGGAAGGTGAAGACAAATCCATCCCTTTCTGTCTCCATCCTCATTCTTTTCTGTGTCTTGCCTGATGCCTGGCTATTTTGCTGAATGGATAGCTTGTTAATTACTGTAGGAAGGCATGATATGACAATCTGGAAGCACACCTGAGTAAACTCTAATGATTTTTAACCTTCTCTACTCAGCCTAGACTAGGCCTTTGTACAGGTATGTATGTGAGTGAGAGTCTGTTTCAGAACTGGTAGATAGTAGCAACATCTTTTGTAAACTTGCAAGGTTAGAAAATTCATTTTTACAGCTGGACACGGTGGCTCATGCCTATAATCCGAGCACTTTGGGACGCCACGATGGGTGGATCACCTGAGGTCGGGAGTTCGAGAACAGTCTGACCAACATGGATAAACCCCATTTCTACTAAAAATACAAAATTAGTTGGGCGTGGTGGCCCATGCCTGTAATCCGAGCTACTCGGGAGGCTGAGGCGGAAGAATTGCTTGAACCCGGGGGGTCAAGGCTGCGGTAAGCTGAGATTGTGCCATTTCACTCCAGCTTGGGTAACAGGAGCGAAGCTCCATCTCAAAAAAAAAGAAAAAAAAAATTATTTTTACGTCTGGGCTTGGTGGCTCACATCTATAAATCCCAGCACTTTGGGAGGCTGAGCTTGGCGGATTGCCTGAGGTCAGGAATTCGAGACCAGCCTGGCTAACATGGTGAAACTCCATCTGTACTAAAAATATAAAAAAAGTAGCCCCGCATGGTGGCGGGCGCCTGTAATCCTAGCTACTCGGGAGGCTGAGGCAGGGGAATCGCTTGAACCTGGGAGGCGGAGGTTGCAGTGAGCTGAGATCGCGCCACTGCACTCCTACCTGGGCAATATAGCGAGATTGTCTCAAAAAAAAAAAAGAAAGAATTTATATATTTATTTTGTATTTCTTTATTTTTTGATACAGAGTCTCGCTCTGTTGCTCAGACTGGAGTCTCACTCTGTCGCCCAAGCTGGAGTACAGTGGCGAGATCTTGACTCACTGCAACCTCCACCTCCCAGGTTCAAGCGATTCTCCTGCCTCAGCCTCCTGAGTAACTGGGATTACAGGCATGCACCACCATGCCCGGCTAATGTTTGTACTTTTAGTAGAGATGGGGTTTCACCATGTTGGCCAGTCTGGTCTCGAACTCCCGACCTCGTGATCTGCCCGTCTCAGCCCCGCAAAGTGCTGGGATTACAGGTGTGAACTACTGCGCCCGGCCCAGAAAATTTATTTTTACTTGGAAGGGTTTTGAGGAGGCTAACAGTACAGTCAGATCAGTGGTTCTCTACCAAGCATAGGGAACTTGGCAAGAGGAACGACCAGAGGCCCTTGTTTGTTCAGGGGTTCAGGCAGAGATGAGGGAGTGAGACTGGTAGAAGGGAATGGGAAGTGACTGAAAGAGAAGGGTTCCTGCTGGGGGAGCTGACATACTGTTTGTTAAAAATGACCTAAAGCACATAATAATTCAGTTCTGTTAACCCTGCTGTCTTCTCTGCAGACACCGCCCTAGCCATCATGGAGGTGGCCGACGCGGAAAGTCCTCTGAACCCCAGCTGTAAGATAATGACCTTCAGACCCTCCTTGGAGGAGTTCCGGGAGTTCAACAAATACCTCGCATACATGGAGTCTAAAGGAGCCCATCGCGCGGGTCTTGCAAAGGTGATTTTCCTCAGATGCTTTAAATGAAAATCAATCACTTGGCCTTTATGTTCTTAGTTTTCATGATGTGGGACATTGTTTCTGAAAGAAGAAATTTGCAAAATCTTTGTTCTTGTTAATCCATATGGAACATTTGATTTCTTCAAATAGTAATTATCTTATTTTTCTTTAAGTATAACTATTCATACTAGATTGTCTTCTAAGGCTTAAAAAGAAAAATCAAAACCAACCAAGGGTGGCTCATGGAAACCAAGGAGATCCATGTATGGGTTTCAGAGGTGTGAGCGTGTTCATATTTTTTGTTTGTTTCTTTGTAGACAACAATTATTAACCTGAAGCCTAACCACAGTTTCTCTCTCCTTTCCTTCTTTCCTTCTATTTTTTTAAAAATTTTCTTTCTTCTTTTTTTTTTTTTTTTTTTTGAGACAGAGTCTGCTTAGTCGCCCAGGCTGGAGTGCAGTGGCGCGATCTCGGCTCACTGCAAGCTCCGCCTCCCGGGTTCACGCCATTCTCCTGCCTCAGCCTCCCGAGTAGCTGGGACTACAGGCGCCCGCCGCCTCGCCCGGCTAATTTTTTGCATTTTTAGTAGAGACGGGGTTTCACCATGTTAGCCAGGATGGTCTCGATCTCCTGACCTCGTGATCCGCCCGCCTCGGCCTCCCAAAGTGCTGGGATTACAGGCTTGAGCCACCGCGCCCGGCCCTTTCTTCTTTTTTGAGACAGAGTTTCACTCTTGTCACCCAGGCTGGAGTGCAGTGGCGTGATCTCGGCTCACTGCAATCTCCACCTCCTGGATTCAAGTGATTCTCCTGCCTCAGCCTCCTGAAGTAGCTGGGATTACAGGCACCTGCCACCATGCCCCACTAATTTTTTTGTATTTTTAGTTGAGACAAGATTTCACCATGTTGGCCTGGCTGGTCTTGAATGCCTGACCTCAGGTGATCCATCTGCCTTGGCCTCCCAAAGTGCGGGGATTAAAGGTGTGAGCCACCATGCCCGGCCCTTTTTTTTTCCCATATAATACTTATTGATATATTTTATTATATAATAATGCCATATAATGCATCAGTTTAAAGTGTGCAATTCAGTGGCTTTGAGTATATTCACAGAATTGTGCAACCATCACCTCTATTGAATTCTATAACATTCTCATCATCTCCCAAAGAAACTTCATATGCATTAAGCAGTCATTCCTGATTCCCTGCTATCACCCCCAGCCCATAGGCAACCACAAACTGACTTATTCTCTCTCTACATTTGCCAGTTCTCTTTTCTTTCTGCTTATTTGTTCACCAAATGTGGAGAGTGCCTGCTATGTGCCAGACACTATGCCAGGTGCTAGAGGTAGGGATGTGGTGGAGCAGAACATACAATGTTCCTGCCCCCATGGAGCTTACTTACATTCTAGTGGTAGCATCTTAGAATGATGAAATAAGGACATTTAAGCACAGATCCAAAGGATAAAAAGAAACCAGCCTTTTCAAGATATGGGGGCAGAAAGAATAGCAAGTCCAGAGGCCTGAAGGCTGACCTGTACTTCGTGGCTGGGAGGAATAGGAAGGTGGGCAGTGGACTTGCCCGGCCATAGTAAGGCATTTGGGATTTTAAGTGTAGACGGAAGCACTGACAGGTTTAAAGTGGGAGAGGAAGATATGGTGGCTGTTTGTTTCTTTCTTTTGCTATTTTTGGGACATTATTTTGAAAAGGTCACACTGGCTCCTATGTGAAGAATGAATTTGGTGTTGTGGGGGCAGAGCACAAATAAAGCACCTTGTCTGGGTTGGTTGTATTTATCTAGTGGTGACCCAGACCAGTGAAGATGGGAGAAGTTGTCTTTGGTCTGGATATGTTTGAAAATAATCATCCTGTTCTTACAGGTGCCAAATAATATTCTTAAAAAAAAAAAAAAAATGATAGCAACTTAAGCCTTGTGGGTATAAGTGACACGCCCAGAGTCAGTGAGGTACTGAGGACTGCATCGCACATTTGGATGCATAGGTCCAAAGTAAGATCTTTGAAAGAGAGAGATCCATTATATAATATAATTCATCGTCCAACTTGAGATGGTTTGTGTGTCCCTTCTATAATGTAAATCTATTTTAATTTAAAAATTTCCCATGGAAGAATATGTTTTATTGCATTTATTTCAATTTATTATTGTTTGAAGGGGTGGCCTGCCCCTCCACACCTGTGGGCATTTCTCATTAGGTACAACGAGAGACTTGAGAAAAGAAATGAGACACAGAGACAAAGTATAGAGAAAGAAAAAGTGGGCCCATGGGACCGGCGCTCAGCTTACAGAGGACCCACGGGGCTTCGGTCTCTGAGTTCCCTTAGTATTTATTGATAATTATCTTTACCATCTTAAAGATAAGGGAGTGGCAGGACAATGGGATCATTGTAGGGAGGAAATCAGCAGTAAGACATATGAACAAAAATCTCTGTGACATGAATAAGTTTAAAGGAAAATGCTGTGCCTTGAGATGCATATGCAAACATCTCCATAAACCTTTTAGCAGCATTGTTTCAGCCTATAACATGGGGAGAAACCTTGGACAATACCTAGCTTTCCTAGGCAGAGGTCCCTGCGACCGACCCTCTGGCTGTGTACGTGTCCCTGGGTAGTTGAAATTAAGAGAATGGTGATGACTTTTAACCAGCAAGCTGCCTTCAGGCACTTGTTTAACAAAGACACATCCTGCACAGCCCCAAATCCATTAAACCTTGAGTCACCACAGCACATGTCTCTAAGGACAAGGTTGGGGGTAGGGTCACAGATTAACAGTATCTCAAATACAGAACAAAATGGAGTCTCTTATGTCTACTTCTTTCTATATAGACACAGTAACAGGCTGATCTCTTTCTTTTCCCCACAATTGTTCTAAATGTTAAATTTATAATCTGGGTTTCTGTAGACTTGTCAATATCACTGCATAAATCCGTGAGCCCTCACAGAGCCTGCTGCCGTGCTGAACCACTCAGTTGCACTTAGGTAAAGTGTTCTCCTTGAAATCCCCAGCTGTGGAGGTCAGATAGCATGGAAAACAGAAGATAGTTGAGGAGAGAACTTCTGGAACTATTGGGATTGGTGTTCCACTCCTCCTGCAAATGGACCTGATGCTACCTGTAACCCACTACTTTACTGTTTCTGGTGTCTGTACCCTGAGGTCTGTAATTAGGTTGTGTGTGTGTGTGTTTTTTTTGGTTCTTTTTTTTTTGAGGTGGAGTCTCGCTCTGTCGCCCAGGCTGGAGTGCAGAGGTGTGATCTCAGCTCACTGTAACCTCTGCCTCCCAGTTTCAAGCGATTCTCCTACCTCAGCCTCCTGAGTAGCTGAGATGACAGGCATGTACCACCATGCCCGGATAATTTTTGTATTTTTAGTAGCGACAGGGTTTCACCATGTTGACCAGGCTGGTCTCGAACTCCTGACATCAAGTGATCTGCCTGCCTTGGCCTCCCAAAGTCCTGGGATTTTGGGCGTGTGCCACTGTGCCCAGACATGTATCTTGTTAAAATTCATGCCCTTCCTAGAAAATTGTTTTGTTATTCTCTTTTTTGATGGAAGAGTCTCATTTTGTCACCCAAGTACAGTGGCATCTTATTGACTCACTGCAGTCTCAACCTCCCAGGTTCAAGTGATCCCTCTCCCTCAACCCTGCAATTAGCTGAGATTACAGGTGGGCACCACCATGCCTGGCTAATTTTTGTATTTTTTGTAGAGCCAGGGTTTCACCATGTTACCTAGGCTGGTCTCGAACGCCTGGGCTCAAGTGATCTGCCTGTTTTGGCCTCCCAAAGTGCTGGGATTATAGGCATGAACCACTGCTCCTGGCCCCTTCCTAGAAAACTTTTAAAATTTGGAAATATTAAGTTGAGTGAAAATTAATTAGGGGTGGGTGAGAGAGAGAGGAAACAAGATAAAGAGAAAACAAATGGAAACTAAAGCTTTTTAATGACTTTCTCAGATGACCTATCCTTAGTTTAACTTCTTTATTGGGTTAGCTCATCAACAAAAAAAATCTCATTTGGGCTGGGTGTGGGACTCACGCCTGTAATCCCAGCACTTTGGGAGGCCAGGGCAGGCGGATCACTTAAGGTCAGGATGGCCAACATAGTGAAACCCCATCTCTACCAAAAATACAAATTTTAGCCATGCGTGGTGGTGGGTGCCTGTAGTCCCAGCTGCTCTGGAGGCTGAGCCAGGAGAATCGCTTGAACCCAGGAGGCAGAGGGCAGAGGTTAGGGATAACCATCTCTTCTCTTCTCTGGCCTCTGAATGCAGCCCTTTGTCCTGTTGTTCTCTCCCACTTTTGTTTCTGGAAAACATGTACTGTGTTCCACTGAGATTAGTAGAGTGTCCTGTGGTAGGGTGGCACGTTCAGTAACTTTAGAAGAGGAAACAGCAGCTACCCTCACAAGGGAGCTGCATGCACACAGAGCACACCTGCGTCGCTGTCTGCATCGTGTAACAGAATAAAGTTAATGAGAACTATGATTACAAAACACACCTGAGTCCAGACCGTGCCTCTTTTTTAAAATTGAGACTCATTGACAAAGTTGGAGACATTCATTTATTCAATCCTGTGATAATTTCCTATTACTCATTATTAGGAATACAACAAACTATTTCAAATCATTTTTGCCATGTTTGACGTCAAGTCACATAAGCTCAGTTTTACCTACTTTCCCTCTTGTTCTGGAAGTTGCAATAGTAGCAAATGTATAAAACTGTACCAAATCAAATCATATTATAAAAATCAAGACTGCATTAATGAAGCTGGTTTGCTTTGGGGGCTAGTCCTGGGGAACCGAGCCACCCATGATGTTCTTTGTTAATGCCCTATTTTTTTTTTTTTTTTTAAAACGGGGTCTTTTCCTGTTACTCAGGCTGGATGGTGTGATCATGGCTCACTATAGCCTTGACCTCCCACACTCAAGCAAGTAGCCTGCCAAGTAGCTGGAACTCAGCCTCCCATGTAGCTGGGACTACCCATGCCTG